ACCATTGCTTTAACTATGCCAACCTTCGTTGCCAGTATGATGTCTCTGCTCTTAACTATTTTATCGAGATTAGTCTCCTCCCTGAGTTAACTCTACCATTATTCAGAGAAAGGTGTCCTCCTTAGAGTTTTTGGTTTTCATGAAATGATAGTGAACAATAACAACAAATTAAATAACTATTTTATACTAAAACAAAATAAAATAATCCCTTGTAATATCTTTGAAATTAACTATGGAATTGGAAATGTCTTAAGCTTTCATGGAGTTTAGTTCATGTTTTGATATAACTATTTATGTGTCAAATGCAAAAGACTACTTCCTATTCTCATTTAGGGCTCATCCACAGACACCACTGTTCCTGGAAGTAGCCATATATTCCATATCTGTCCCATAGTAATGGTGGGCCAAAGGCCAGTTGGTCTTGCCAGACTGAAACCAGTCTGGTCCTGCAGGACAGTCACCATTGCTGGATGGTCACATAGCTCTCAGAGAGCTCCTTACTATTGCTGGGAACCTTTGATTTTGTTTGATTTTCTGCTTCAAGTACCAAAATAACTTGATTATGGATACTTAATATGCCTTGAACTGGGTGTGTATGAGAGATATAAGCAAATATGTGTGCCATTTGCTGTTCTGGCTAATTCAAGTAAAATACTTTGAGCCAGCCCTGACAGTTTCCTTTCCTTTCAGGTTTTCTTAGATAACTGGACTTGTGAAAGCAGTTTAGATATTCCTGTTGATTCAAGCATTAAAAACATCATTACCAGAAAAAAAATACAGTTTATTCAAATGCAATTGTGTCTCTGGGATAAATTCATGGTATAAATTCCTATCTTGGGCACAACTACAGAAATTGTCAACTTCATAATCTGAAAATTCTTTAAAATCTGCCATGTGTTCATAATATGGTATATCAGGAAACAAACACAAAACCTCCTGCTTTGTGGTGTTCTACCAACACAGCCACAGACAATTGGAGTGGAATTAATGTGATTTATCAAATGCTGTTGGACTATGGCTCCCAGCAGTCCCCATGAATACAGCTAATAAAATGAAATGGAATTCAGAAGGGCCACATTGCTCTATTTCCATTTTCTGTACTAATGATGACCTTTTTATGCATCTCGCCCACCAAATGTTTCTTTTAAATTAACAAAAATATAAGGAACTAATTCATTCAAGCCACAAGTACAGAAAGGAACTTGTTTAATGGCTGGTGCTATTTTAAACGAACAGAAAACCTCAGTGCAAATACACTGATAGATTAATGCAGGAATATTTTACAGTCAGTCTTATTATGCACACCAGCACCAGAGAGTTCATAAGCACCAAAATTTCCTTTACACATTTGGAATTTTTGAAAAGGTGAATGCAAGTCTGATCACCCACTAAATTCTTCTACAGTGAAACCACAGAAATGCTATTTCTCTGTGCACATACATGACCTCAGCGGATGGGGAAAGGAAAAAAAAAGTGCCAGAAATGCACACTTGACACTACGTTGGCCATGTAAATAATCATATGCTGGATTTTGTCAAAACAACAACATTTGTATGCATAATTTTAAACTATAAAAGAGGCTTCTTTTTTCAGAATTGTGCCTATTACATTTATCCTGATTCCTAACATGAAAGTGAAAATCCTCAAATAAAAACATGCTGGGTATTTTTACCTGAGAGAACATCTCTCTTGGAATTTCTAGGTCTAGGCCTTCCACAGGAAACTGACTACAGAATAATATTGGAGAACCTAGACATTCCTGGATGCATTCCCTCTAGAAATCTCTAAGGCCCTTTCTACACTGCCATATAATCCAGATTATCAAAGCAGATAATCCGCATTATCTGCTTTGAATTGGATTATCTGAGTCTACATTACCATATTTATTTATTTGTTTATTAATTTACAGTATTTATATTCCGCCCTTCTCACCCCGCAGGGGACTCAGGGCGGATTACAATGTATACATATATGGCAAACATTCAATGCCAAGATGCACAACATAGACAAGACAGTCAGAGGCTATTAACTTTTTCTGGCCACCAAGGGAGCTGTCGCTTTCATCGTCCATCTGCGACACTGATGAAGTACTTCTGCATTCCCCGCATGCTTTTGCTGGAGTGCTTTGCTGGAGTCTTTTTTATGGCCTAGTAAATTAGTTAAATTAGCCTCCCCACACATAGGTGGTACCTAATTTTCCTACTTGGCAGATGCAACTGTCTTTCGGGTTGCAAAGGTCGACAACAAGCTACACAATTGGTTGGAAGCTCACTCCGACCCGGGCTGGCTTTGAACTCATGACCTTTTCATCAGAAGTGATCTTAATGCAGCTGACAGCCAGCTGCACCACAATCCTGGTTCAAAGCACATAATCTGCATTTTATATCGCAGTGTAAAAAGGTAAAGATAAATGTATTCCCTTTGACATTAAGTCTAATCATGCCTGACTCTGGGAGGTGGTGCTCATCTCCATTTCTAAGACAAAGAGCCGGTGTTGTCCATAGACACATCCAAGGTCATGTGGCCAGCATGACTGCATGGAGCATTGTTACCTTTCCGCTGAAGCGGTGGTACTTATCTACTCACATTTGCATGTTTTTGAACTGCTAAGTTGGTAGAAGCTGGGCCTAACAGCAGGAGCTCACCTCCACTCCCTGGATTTGAACTGCCAACCTTTCAGTCAGCAAGTTCAGCAGCTCAGCAGTTTAACCTGCTGTGCCACCAGGGGGCCCTTATATGGCAGTGTAGAAGGGGCTTAAGTTCTCCTAAATGACAGGAGGAAGTTGAACATGGGGTCACAGTGGAGGATCTAGAGATTCCTTGAGATAGTATTTCGTAAATGTGGAGGGATAACTGTATTTAAAAAAGTATCTCCCCCTGTTTCTGAACCAGACCTATGTATTCTGTTTTATGACATAATCTTCTAATGCACACTTTACTTTAATAGGGACACTGGAGACAATTGTAAAGTGAGTTGTGTCTTTATTCCACCTAGTTCAGTATTTTCTACACTGCAGAGATTCTGAATTGGAAGTTTCCCGGTCATTTCTTGAGATAACAGGGACTGAACCTGGAATCTTTTGCACACAAATATGTGCTCTGCTGCTGAACTATAGGCCTTCCCCAGTTACATTCGGTAGAAACCGAAGCTTCCTTGGAATTGTTTTCAATGCCAAGCTTAACATGTATTTAATCATGTATTTGATAACACTCAGAGGTTTTATTTTCCAGGTAAACATTCTTATTGCTCAAACTAATAGCTTATCCAAGAGGTGGAATACAAGATTAGTCATGTACCAAGCTTTGAATGTTTACTTATTAAAAATAAGAAGGAAACTGAGAGTTTTCACACCCTGCAGCTCCATCTCAGAACAGTGAAAGGACACGTTTATGAAGACAGGTTTACCATGCACATTACAAGCTGACAGCCAAATCTCTTATTTCGAGATACAGTTCACCCTACTGAATTCAGTAGAACTTGTTTATATGAAAATGCACTGGTGATGGCAGCATTCAAGTAGTGCTTTAAAAGCAATCATAAATGTGCTAAGACTGCAGCCAAATAGTGTGATTTTAAAAAAACTTTTCTTTAATTAGTACCCCAACCCCTACCCCACATTCCTATCCTGGCATTATCACAAACTGTTTTTAAAATGCTTCCAATTTCAAAAGCAGTTTGTATTTCCATTTCAAAATGAAGTTCCCCCCCCCCCCCCCCCACACACACTCTGTCACATGGGACAATATGCACTGATCTTTCATTTCTTCCCATGTCAGAAGAATAGAAAAAAATGTGTCCTTCCTGTACCACCGATGCTTTCCCTTTGATTTGTCAATTTTCTTTTCTTTACATGTTAGGTATTCTTTGTGGATGTGGAGGAAAAAATGTGATGACCACAAAACAATTGTTTACAGTCACATCTCTGAGGAAGACCTGAGGACTGATCATTGTAGAATTGCTACAGTTTTCCTTTGAGAACTTTTCTTCTCATTTCTCCATTTTCTTTCTTAATGGTCTGTTGAAAAATCCAGCCTGCAAAAAGAATGAGGAGGAAATCAGTTCAGCTTCTAAAATGTATAGGAACAAAGGGAATCTGTGTCATTACATTAGAGCGTGAATCTCTTTAGGCTGCCAACTAGCCATGCTGTATCTCCAAATCCTCAATTCCATTTCATCTTCGATCCATTTTTTAATTTGTTCTCTCAATGATCAGCAAAGGTTTGGGGGTTGGTGAACATGCCTAGTCCTCGATGGACTACTTCAGAGAACTTCACAATAGTCTCTTGGTGCTTTTTTATTAGTGATTATATTTTGTAAAGC